TGGCTCCGAAACGGAGGTATCTGTTCTGGGTAGTTACTGCTAATTCATCTGAAGGTAGCCTTTGGAGAGCAGACACAACATTCTATGGGAACACAAAAACAAAGTATTACATTTCTAATCAAAAAGTAGGTAGTTGGCAGCAACACAGGAAATGAATTTAATAGTTGAAACCAGTATCATTGATAAAAACGTTCTGAAATCATTTGGGGCAGCATTCTTTAACTTTTGTGGGCTACAGACAGTAATTTACTGCAGTCTCACTGAAGGAAGTGTCCATTGTGAGTGTAAAATTATCGGATTAACTTGAATTTTAACATGCTTTGAGTCTCTAAAGTTAACATTTGTATTTGTTTTGGAAATATTCGAAATAATATAGTGACAAGACCACATTATAAAAACCTGCCGAAGACAATGAACAGTTAGAACTTATTTTCCTTTTGCATGTCATGCTCTTCAGACAGGGAGTCTTTGTTACACTGGCATAAAATGTACTTACTACTTACTGTTTTTGAACCATTAACCTAAAATCAGGGTGGGTGGGTAATTAGAAGTCAGAATAGATTAATTCTGACGATTTTGGTTCCATTATTTCTAGACATTTAAATATTGTGCATGACTCGGAAGACATTTGGTGGATTTTATGTATATCTGGGGATGTCAGTCTTTGCGTGGCCTTCACAGTCTCAACTGAATATAAGCAGGGAGCGGGGGTAAAGGTAGAAGTACCAGAGTGTAGGAATACTCTGTTACAGTAAAAGTCCTGCAATTAAACTGTAGTAAAACTAGAAAAGTATTATCATCAAAATATAGTTAAAGTAGCGAAAGTAAAAGTTGTCATTGTGCAGATTGGTCCCTTTCAGAATAATATATATGATATGTTTTATAATGATTGATCATGAAAGTGTTCTCAAAGCTAGTAAAGGTGCAGCTAGTTTGAATGACTTTGTATACTGCAGGGTAGCTTGTGAATTTACTCCAGGTGGAACTAAAGTCTGATTTAACACTTGATTATATTTCACATCATTAATCCACATCTGTATGTTGTGAAGTAAAAGGACACCATTTACCTCTGAACTGTAGTGGAGTAGAAGTACAAAGTAGCAAAACTTTAAAATACTCAAGTAGAGTACAAGTCTCTCAAAATTGTACTTAAGCACAGTACCGGTACTTGAGTAAGTCAGTCAGAGGAGGCCTCGGTGAATATCTGAAGCAGAGTGCTACATGAGGGTCGGGAATTAAACACAGACCCGTTGCTACTTTACCCATAAGCCCCGAGTAATCAAACTCTCCAGCTCCGTGCCGCCAATTAATTCAACCTGGCTTTCCCCCGCAACACACGCCCACCCCCGGGCTGAGGGGGGTGAGAGGAGGAGCCCATGTGACACCCAGCTGCAGCTGTAATGACTCTTGTGGGGGGGATGATAGTGTGTGTGTATGTATGTTTGGGTGAGGGGGGTGTCTGTATGGTTCTGAGTGAATATATAGGATCGTCTGTGATTTATCTACGAGATCCTTGTTAGTCTTTCAACTACCACGCTCCACATCAAATTAATCAATTACATATTCTTTAGCAGACCTTCATTTTTTATTTATTGATGCATTTTGTCCTACATAGTCATGCTTATGAAATGTTCATACAATATTTATATATTTAAAATATGCAGGCAGTGAAAGTGTGCAATGTCAGTCTCTGTATGTGTATACTTCTTTAAGTAGTTTTATTCAGAGTATGACGTGTAGCATGCAGTGTCAGAGGGGATTTGGTAATGGCGACTATTGAGGGTTCATTGTGTTTCATATTATCTGCCTCAGAACACACACACACACACACACACACACACACACACACACACACACACACACACACACACACACACCAAAAGGCCTGACTACCATAGTAAGAGGAAAGTGTGACAGTAAGGGAGTGTGTGTAGACTAACTTAATCAACACTTTTTGACTAGGAAGGCAAAAGTGCTTTCTTTGTTCTGATCAGCCCCAATCTGCATACTCTGTCTGAATACATTGAGA